GTTCCAGACAATAGCCTAAAGGTTGGTCATCGGGCCTGAAGGCAATATACAGCATCCTGCGTTATTAGCACACACTGAGTGAAAGTATAACCCTACTGTAGATGACCATCCAGTGCTGAAGATGATGATGCTATTCTTGGTACTTTGATTCAGACCCAAGATGAGGCTGAGAATTTGTATCCATTTGAGGAAATTCTTAATGACCTAAGTATCTCTACCAATAGTGTTCATCATTAAATACTTTCTGCCTGGCACATAGTGCTTTTTTAAAATTATTTTTTGTTCAATAAATGAAAGCAGTTTTAGTGGATCAGTTCAAAAGGAGTCTTTGTATTAGCTTTGTTTAATATGGAGTTTGGAACTGAAGAAACATTTAATAATTATCATTTTAAAGTATAGAATGTGGTATATCAGACCTTCTGGAACACTCTCTAGACACAAATGCAGCAGAGACTGCATTGGAAACCTCTGAAAGAGTGTATCCTTGGCCAGCAGATGGCATTCTAATACTATAGTTTAGAGAAAGCAACTAGCAAAAGGTAAAGAAGCACTTTATAATGTTGAAGTGACCATCTATCTCCTTTTTCCCCTCCTCATCCCCACATAACTTTATCTCATTTCCATTTTATCCCAGGCAACTATCTTTTCCATCCATCCACCCCTCTTTAGGTGCCTAGAGAGATCTTACTGCCATGCTCTCTAGTTCCTCATAGGAAAATATCTTTTGTACTTATTAATAATCAATCCATAGAAATAGGACCAGCCACATAATTTTCAGGGCCCTGTGTAAAATGAAAATGCAAAAGTTGTTCAAAAAGTATTGAGAATTTTAGGACAGTAAGAGAAGAGCATTAAACCGAGCACCGAGCCCTCTGAGCCTGCATAAGCCATACACCCATGAAACCAACCATACTTTATAATGTAAATATTTCCCTCTTCCCATTCTACCTTCCATTATTCTAATGCCCTGACCCCTGTGACCCGCACCAAAAGGGCTGCTTAAGAAAGGAAGGAATCACTAAATGTTATTGAGACATCATAGAATCTTAGCATTGAAAGAAAATTTAGAGATCTAGTTCAATCCTCTCATTTTAAAGATGATTACATTCCAAAGAGATGAAGAGGCTCTCCCAAAGTCCCCAGCTAGTTATGTCTCAGACTGGACCGGATCTAAGTATTCTCATCTACCAGACCAAGGCTCACTCTCTTACGCAGACTCCATGAGAGGTATTTTAAGAAACGAATTTTCCCATCTACTCAGGATATACTTTGCCCCGTTTTCTCTACAAGAGAAGGGTACATGTTTGTGTTACATTTGAATACCAGGTGTGTGCTGGGCATTACACTCGATGTTTTATACATAATACCTCAGTTAGCAACAAGCTCAGAAAATCATTATGTTCTCCCCATTTTTCAAATGAGAAAAATTGAGAATCAGAACTTGAATTTTAGTCAGTAAATGGGAAGACAAGAATTTGGGCAAGTCTGTGATTCTAAAACCCAGTCTCTTTCACTATATCATTCCTAAATTTTAGGAAAAGTTGAATCAGCCTGTATTTCCTGAACATTGGTCTTGTTTTTGGTCAGCTCTGGGTGATCTTGGGGACTCTTTCCAGGCTGTTTTCTTCAAATTTATGAGGCTTGCTACTGCCTTGGTGTCTTTGCTCCAGGGTGTTTCCTCTGCTTTAAACACGCTTCCCCCAGATATTTCATGAAAAACAGGACCATGTGTTGGATAGGTAACAGGGGATCTGATCATTCAGTGTCTTACAGGTCATTGTAAGAACATTGGCTTTTTCCTCTGAGTGAAAATGGGAGCCATTGCAGCAGTTTGAACAGAGAAGTGACGTTATCAGATTTAGGATCCTTCTGGCTGCTGTGTAGAAAAAGAGACTAAAGGGATGGAGTGGGGAAGGTAGAAGTTTGTAGGCTTTTTAGAGAGTTATAACAGTAATCCAGGAAAAAGATAATGGTGTCTCATACTAAGGTGATAGCAGTGGAAGTGATGGAAAGTGACTGGATTCTGGAGTTATATGTGTATGTAAATACTGTATTTTTAACTTCTTGTTATGGAAAATCTCAAATACATACAAAAGTACTACAGAGATGAGTATAATGAATTCCTATGTTCCTATTCAGTGAACCTATCATGGGTTATGTGTCAGGCACTTTGCAACAGCTGCAAGAATTGCCAACTTGTATCAATCTTCCTCCCCAACCCTTGATTGGGGAGAAAACAATTTGAAGCAAATCCCAGATACCGTATTGCATGTGTAAATATTTCAGCTTCTACTACTCCAACTGCTTCTGAGTGCCCCAACATTCTGCTGTTTACCCTATGGTTTCTGCTTGTTCATAGTTTCAGGTACTCAGGACTTCTAATTACTGTTTGCTCTATTTGTCCTCCTTAAGCTTTTTTCCTTCCTATCAACTACTAACTCTGTACTTCTCAAATTCAAACTCCCTAAAAAGAGGTTCTTGTGGGTTCAGTTAGTTGTTTTTTTTCCTTCTACACAGAACTCATGATCTGGCCCAATTGTGGTCGATTGGCTGCTCTTGGGTCAGGGACCCTCTTTTGGCCAACCGCGGTGGTGTAACGACAAAGTTAGTTTTCCCAAAAAAGGGTTATTGAAATGGAAGTCACTTAACAAATAATAGGCTGCTCTCCAATACTAATACATAGTGGAAATTTAATTCTAGAAAGGATATAAATGGTGAAAAAAGTAAGTCTGCAATGAGACTAGAAATAGATAAGTGTCTAATCACTGAGTACCGTTATTTTACAGTCTGACCTGACTCATTTAGAGTGCTATTCTTGGGTGCCACTGAGGAATTAAGCACATTTTTTTTTCTTAATATATTTTTGTTTATAACAGGCTGAGTAATAGCATAGATAATAATGATCTAGGCTGAAAGTCAAGACCTACATTTAATTCTTCTGTTCATCATGGACTTTGTACAATATTAGACAAGATAATAAACTTCTTTGTGCCTTTGTCTCTCTCCAGTGAGATTAATACCTACCTTTTCCTGATTCATATATGGTAGACACATAAGATTAGAGGGATAGAAGCATATTGAGCTTTTATGAAGAGAAGCATGTGAAAATCTGAATAATTACTATTTCCTATGTGAGGATTTTTATGAAATTATAAAATGAACATAGATTTAAGGTTTTTTTTTTGTATAAATTTGATGAGTACAAGTATAGTTTTGTGACATGGGTATATTGCATAGTGGTAAAGTCTGGGCTGTAACCATCGCCCCCTGAATAATGTACCCATTAAGTAAGTCCTCATCCCTCACCCCGCCCCCTGGCCAACCCTGCAACTCTTCCAAGTCTCCAGAGTCTATTATTCTACACTCTGGTGTGTCCATGTGTATACATTATTTAGCTCCCACTTATAAGTGAGAAAACACAGTATCAACTTTCAAATATTACACACTGTCTAATCTATTCATTTTCATCAGGTACTCAAACATTTTTCTTCCTACATTTTAATGTATGTGTCATATGTATATACTGCTTAGAACAGTGTGGGGCAAGTAGTAAGAGCTATGTAAATGTTAAACAGTTATCTGCATCAGCGTCAAAAAGAATTTGTCAAAAGTCCAGAGTTGCAGCTGCAAATGCTTAAAAATTTGACCCCTCTCTCCATCCCCTAATATATGCCCTGCTAAAATACAATTACATGAAGCACATAAAATAGTATGTCATGTGAAAATATGAATAAAAGGAAATTTTTTGAGCCCTGGAAAATTGGCAGTGTATATGTTTATGTGAAGAAAACCACCACAACAACAAAAAAGAAAGGGGGTGGTTAAAAATAACATTGATAACTGATATCTCCATTGTTCTCAAAGACTAGTTAGTGGACAGGCTGCATCAGAATCACCAGGAAATTTTCTAGAATTCTTGGTTCTATTAGCGATTCTGATAGAATAGAGTAACAGTGGAGATTAAGAATGCAGAAACTGTTTAAGTTTCTCAGATGATCCTGATTTTCAACCAAGCCTGAGAATCACTGATATGTAGAAAAATGTAATACAATAATTTAATTTAACTTAGTACATCATTTATTTCCTGTCATCCTATTCAAAGTGGTATGTATTGGGAAATATCTATCCCCAGGGAAGAGGACTGGGAGGATATCTGTAAAAATCAGAATGACAATTATCTCTGGATTATGAGTTATGGAAATACTTATTTTACATTTATGTTTCTTATTTCTAAGTTTTCTGGTTGAGCATATATTATTTTTATAATAATAGATATTACTTACAACCAGTGCCAGAAAATTATTCACAACCAGTGCAAGATGTTAAAGAGTCATATGCAACCTATGTTTTCAGTTTATCAAATGTAAAGAAAAAAAGCAACTTGGCCGGGCGCGGTGGCTCACGCCTGTAATCCCAGCACTTTGGAAGGCCGAGGCTGGCGGATCACACGGTCAGGAGATCGAGACCATGGTGAAACCCCGTCTCTACTAAAAATAGAAAAAATTAGCCGGGCGCAGTGGCGGGCGCCTGTAGTCCCAGCTACTCGGGAGGCTGAGGCCGGAGAATGGCGTGAACCCGGGAGGCGGAGCTTGCAGTGAGCCGAGATTGCGCCACTGCACTCCAGCCTGGGCGACAGAGCGAGACTCCGTCTCAAAAAAAAAAAAAAAAAGCAACTTGATAGGCTGAGACAGGAGGATCACTTGAGGCCAGGGATTCAAGACCAGCCCGGGCAATATAGCAAGACCCCATCTCTTAAAAAAAAAAAAATGAAAAGGAAAGAAAACAAAAATTAGCTGGGCATGGTGAAGTGTACTCATAGTCCTAGCTGCTCAGAAGGCTGAGGCAGGAAGATTGCATGAGTCCAGGAGTTTGAGGTTACAGCGAGCTATGATCTCTCCACTGCATTCCAGCCTGAGAGACAGAGGAAGACCCTCTCTCTACCAAAACAATCTGTCAATTCATATTCACATAGTTTTTGTTTTAAAAGGCAAGGCTACATATAAAGCAACATGGACACAATATTTATTTTTGTTTTTTAAAATGTCACAAATTCTTTTAGTAAATATATGTCTTAGAGAATATAAAACAAATTAAATCCTAATTAGCTTTTACTTCTTTTGCTTTGGCACGAATGGAAATATACCAATGTTTATAAAAGGACCAATCAGTCAGTAACCTTATACTTGATGGGGTGAAAGAAACAGTTCTGGTACAATATAGATCCTCTGTCCAATTTGTATTTTGGGCTGTGCTCCAAGAATAATGTTCAGTCCTTTTTAAAGATCCTCTTGGCCTCTACTCCTTCATATACGTAAGTCTGAAAGGTGTTAACAAACAGAAGAATTTATCTTTAAGATTTACATCTAAATTAAGAAAAATATTGGTATTATTATAGTTTTATACTATATGAGTTTATACTATTTTTATATTATATATATTATATGAGTATGAGTTTATACTATTTTTTCTTGTACTTGATAGCAAGATTTTATACAGATATAGGATACAGCCATTTTAAAACGCTTGTTGGTTTGTAGTCGTTTACATTTTCAGTTAAAATAGGCATTGATCATTTGACATATATAAGTTCTCTTTAGTAAACAGGCATCAGAAAATAGCTATACAATATTTTTTAAATCAGTAAGATTTATGAGAAAAGAAGTAGTCTGTTTACTGAAGATCTAGCTCAGCAGTGATAAAAATTATTGTTTTGTAGTAATTTTTGCCTTTTGAAAATAGCTATAAATGTTACAACTCACCTGGACTAGTTCATCGCCTATAATTTCTCGGACAGTATTCAGTTCATTTCCATTGTCTGTCCGTTTGAATTTTCCAATAAGTTTATTTCCCTCAAGGCTCCAGGTCCCCTACATAATAATGATGATAACAATAATGGCATTTATTAGGGTCTTACACATGTCAGGCACTGTTCTGAGTTCTGTAGACACACTTTTTCATTTAATTTTCATGGTGACCCTATGAAATTGATACTATTATCCTACTTTACAGAAGAGGAGACTGTAAAATGGCCCAGTGATTCACCTAAAGTCACAGTCAGGATTGAACCTAGACCATTGGGCTACAGAGTATGTGTTGATAACCATTATGCTTGTTTTCTTAAATAATTTCCATATGCTGAATTTTAAGGCAGATGAGCAGGGCTTCTTTCTGAATCTTTCATGTTACATATCCAGAAATATAGTCATGGTTAACTTATTAACATGGTTAATAAGTTTCATAGAGAGGTTAACAACTCTGTGCTTGTTTTAATTTGTGTGATTGTGGAACTAATTAAAGAAAGGCATAACTGATAAAACATTCAGTAGTTAAATTGTCATTACAAACATATGTAATTTAAATAGAAAAATGTTGAGGCTAAGAAAGTTTTTAAAAAATTTGTTGAAAATGATGACTTCCTAAAATGTGTTATCTTAAACATGAAAAGGTACACTCTCAATGACTTGCACTACATCAAAGCTTGCCATTTGGTAACTCACTCATTTGTTCATTTGTCCATTTCTTTGATTATTTCAACATATTAAATTGCTATTACAGTTAAGTTACATATTAACTCTAAAAGCTTCTGTTGCTGTACTGTTTAAAAACACAGTTTTGATTTTTTTTATGAATAGGTCTATACTCAGTCATTCAAAAGATATTTTTTCTAATTCTTATTGTTCAATTCAGATTCTTCACAGATGCGTATAAAAATAAAAGTATAATACTTAGATAACCCTGCCAATTTGTGCAATATATAACATAGACAAACTTCATTGGCTTCTTCAGTAAATGAAGGAGACCTGCATTAATTAAACCAACCAATGAAATAGAGCAGAGATCATTTTAATATTGGGTAGAAAAATCAAGAATGCATTGCTCATAAAAAAATTCTTACACTGAGTTCAGTTCCGTCTGCTAGGTTGTAATTAAAGGTGACACCAAGTTCAAAAACAACTTCAATGTTTCGAAAAGTGCATGATTCTTTGACTGTGAATTTATTTCCTTCTTGTGTAATTGTCAGCTTCAAATTGTCATGAGCTGCAAGCTTCCTTTTCATTAAATTAATACCTGCAAAAGGTAAGACAATGGAGAAAATAAAGTCAAATCCCATAGGAAGCGTTTATTTTTCCAAGTTATGTTTTGTTTGTTTATTTTGAGGGTGGGAAGAAAACTCGGTAGCATTGCCTTTGCACAAGAGCATTCAGATTGCTTCTATAGAAGTTCAGTTTCAATCAGATCAAGAGAACTGATTAAAGTTGTTTTTTCAAAACTTGAGAAAAATTAAGTACAGTACAGAATTATAGAATCTTAGAGCTGAACAACTTTAATAAGATTAACAAACTGTTCATTTCAGTGTTAAGTAAATTAAGTTCTAGAAATATCAAATGAAGGATTAAAATGTATATTCATGTATTTATGAGGAAGCACATATTTAATTCTACATATACCGTATTCTTTTTTCTTAAATGCCCCTTTGTTTTTCATAGTGGCTTTAAAATTTTGAACTTCATAATTCTCTTTGTTTCTTGTGGCATTTCTGACACAAAAATGAGAAAATTAGCAAATGTTATAGCCAAAATCACTGTAAGAATCTACAAATTTTATAAATTTAAACTTAGAATTCCTAAACTGTAAGCTATAATTGATGCAGATTTTTCTTTTAGAGGAATGACACAAATTAGTTTGCCTATCTTATGTAGTATATGGGCTGCCAGAGTATTGGTATCAATTTATAAATCAGTTAAATTAAGCCTCCCTGAAGAAAATACATAGCTTCTCAAGATTATTCCAAAACTTTTGTAAGTTAGAAGAAATAAGAATTAAATCTAACTTATTCAGAGCTATAAATTTTAAGAGAACCTTTTTCCATTACTTTCTTATATGGTCTTTGCTTTTCCATCTCCTAGAATTTAACATTTTCAAATCTGGAAGTTATCATTATACACTGCCATTTTCTTACTGTAAACAACAAAAAAGTCATTTTTCAGTTAAAGAGTGAAGGAAACATATCTGGATCTTTTTGGTGTGTTTCAGAGACAGCACTAAAAGAATCTTTTCTTCCATTAGTGAGATAGTGGATTCTTCCTAATGTAAGAAGTAAGAATATGATTTCCCTCCTCTGAACATCTTCTGGATCCTCACTACCACATTAGGAGCTATCCGTAAGCTATCTGTAATCTCCTAGAGATTTAGGAGTTAGAAAGAAAAATGTTTGTAAGAAAGCAAAGAGTAAGCCACAAAGAAATAAAGTCTTTACCCATTTTTTCCATGAACTTATCATAGTTTTCACTCCGGTGTACCTTCCAAGTGCCATTAAACGCCATGATTTCAGTTGAGTCAGCCTCCAGGCAACTAGAGATTCAGGTCTGTCCTTGGGCAAGAATTTATTATATTTCTTATCTTAGAACCAATCCTATACTGTGATGTGGAAGTTTAAAGTTCAGGAAATCACCTAACTACTCTATGTCAAGCCATTAATTCTTATTAATTAATAAGAATTCTTATTAATTAATTCTTAATTAGTTAATTCTCATTCTGTACATTCCTGAGATCTTCTGAAATTCAACTGAATTAAAACATGAGAAGCATACCTATTCTGTCTTCAACTACAGTTTGTGGGCATACTTATTTCAAGAATTAGAATGCATGCTATCAGAAGATTGTTTTTCTAAGTTCAAAGTGCACACTGTGTTGGAGCTAATATAATTTATAGTGTAAGTCAGATAACATCTGGGAAATGAGACCATGACCTGTCTCTTTTTCATAGCAGCAATTATCTTATAAAGTAAGACTTTATGATGAAATACAGTTGAAAAGTTAGTTAATAAGATTCATTTTCTAATATGTCTTTTTGCATTGTGTTTAGCATTGCCAGGAGTTTGGATAAATATCGTGGCACTTGGTACAGTGCATGACACGCAATAAGTGCTCATTAATTTTTGTCTTGATCCTGAATGGTGATAGGCCACTGAGCAAAATTTCAAGAGGTACAAATGAGGCTGGATAGTATAAAAACTTGCATAAAAGAATTAGCTTTAAACATCTGCTATGTGCAGAGAGAACAAAATCCGGTTTTAGCTGTGCCATTAATTAAAACCACTCCTTCGTTTCAGTCTCACTGCCTCTCATCCCCAAACCCAATAGAGTCAGAAGCCACAGCTCAGTATGTATGCGTATTTAGGGTATAGAGGGTAGCTAGAAAGGTACAAAGAAAAGGTCACCATATCTCTCCTTTCCCTACTTCACACTGCCAACCTGGAACAGGCCAAGCTTGGGGAGGAAACTTGGTGTGAAGTAAAGAGTTTTAATTACTAGTCTTAAGATGTTTATTACTAAAATGAGTCTATTATTGTGATTGAATGTGACCAGATAACATCTTATTAACTAAGGGTCAGGAAAGAAGCTCTAGGGCTTGCCCAAGATATTACTTAGGGTCAAGGGAAGATAAATCTAACAGATTTGAACAGAACATTGGGGAATAGAATCCCGGTTTTTAAATTTTGGTATTATTTTATATTTTGATTTTTAAAAATCTTTTAAACATTTTTGATATTGTTTGATTTTTTTTATTTCGAGTTGCCCACTTTTTATTTTATTAAGTAAGCACTTTAAAAAGCAAACTATTTTCTACTAACTTTATTATTTCGTTAAAAAAGAAAAAGAGTTGCCTGGTGCAGTGTTTCTTGCCTGTAATCCCAGCTATTAGAGAGGCTGAGACAAGAGAATACTTGAGGCCAGGAGTTCGAAACTAACAGTTTGAGGCCAGCCTAAGCAACATAGTGACGATCTGACTCTAAAAATTATAATAAAATAAATTAGCCAGGTATAATGGCACATGCCTGTAGTCCCAGCTACTTGGGAGGCTAAGGCGGGAAGATCTCTTGAGCCAGGAGTTGGAGATTGCAGTGAGTTGTGATCATGCCAGTCCACTCCAGCCTGGGCAACAGACAGACCCCATCTCTAAAAGATAAATAATTTTTTAAATGTCAAAAAAGGAACGAAAAAGAACACACATACACACTTATGAGCTGGGGACAAAGGTCATAATGGGAAGTCCTTTACATTCACAATTTAAGCTTTACTTTCAAAATTGGGTACATTGTGATTTTTTTCTCTTTTTTCAGAGAATTAAAACCTTATCACTTGGGAGCAATCAACCTAATATACTTTCAACTTGGAGGGAAGTAGAAAAGTTTGTTTAAAGCTAAGGACTAATAGTCTTTCAGGTAGTTGACTGGTTATGGTGATTTGTGAACTCAGAAGCCTATGGAGAATGAATCCAATCTTCCTTTCTAGGTCAGAAAAATAGGTATATCTGTCACTGAAATAGAAATGTGGTAGAGTGAAAAGAACATGTGTTTTAGAAACAAAACCCGTTGACTTGGGCTTCAGTGCTGACTAAACATACTTACTCTGCAGAATCTTCGTCAGATTACTTACTCAACCTCTCTGAGCCTCAGTGTTCTCATCAATAAAATGAAGACAATAATAATACCTGATATGCATATTTTATGAACAAATTCCATAAAGCACCCACCTGAACTACTTACAGTAAAAGGTACTCATTAAACCTCTGTTTCTCTCCTAACTCTCTGACAAAGGAAATCTAGGAGCAATAACAATGTTTTAGAAGCATCCTAGGTCTCAAACCACTGTGATATTTTGTTAAGAAAACTCATGTCGTTCTGGTGTTTATGAGAAAGTCACCTAAAAGTTACTTAGGTATTTTATGATTTGCACTAGTGATCCACTTGGGACTGGCTATGCCTTGGATTTGCCTGTTAAGGATAGTATTGCACTGTATCACCCTCTGGGAATACATCTTTCCACTATGTGATCTCATAGCGATTGAAATGAAAGTGCCTGACTCAGGAAGGAAGGTTGGCAGGAATAAACTAAAATGGCTTACCATTTTCACCATGACCTCGCCTGTGTCTCATGGCCACTTTAAGCTTCACAGAAGGATCCAAATAGGATCAACGGAAAGCAAACAACGCTGCTTCTCACACAAGCCTGGTAACAAAATAAGCATGTTAAACTTTCAGTCTTAAATTTATATCAGTGGCAGTGACCTAATTTAACATTAGGTAGGACATCCTGTAATCTCTGTAGAGTGGCATCAGTGGTTTTTTTTCCTTAATGCTCAGATTATATTTTTAACATTACGCTTTTCCTTCTCCAGCTCCCCGACTCTAGCTCCTCAGTTTTTATCACTTATATGTAGTCCATCTAGAAAAGAATAAACAGAACTTAGGGGCCAATTTCCCTACAGATCTTTCCTACTGATGATATGATTGAGCCAACCAGCTAAGGGCAGACCCAGTCCTTTCTTTTCCATTTTGATAGTATTAAAAGACTTGAGTATTGCAGTTCGGGGTCATAAGTGGACTAAGTATATGTGTGCATGTGGATGCAGATGCTATGGAGGTAGAGCTATAGCTATACCCTCTGTCTCTGGGCTCTGCAGTCAACATCGCCCACGGAGTGGTCTGGAAGAAGTGGAAACCAGCAGAAACTCCTGTGGATCCCTATTCCATTCCTGCAAGGGAAAGTACAAACCACAATCCTTAGCATGGTTTACAAAGCTACTACTTAAATCTCCGGTTGCTTTTTCCATTCCCTACTGTCTACTACAAAATCTCGATCTATTAAACTTCTTGCAGTCCCCAGTCCCCTGAATGTCCATGCCTCTGCTGCTTCAGATCTCAGCTTGAATGCTGATTGCTCAAAGATTCTTGCCTTGAACTACCAAGATTGAGTCAGGCAACCCTTCTTCTCTCAGGTGAGACCTTCTAAAGGTCTCAGAGTAGCTCATAAAAGACACAGCTGATTCATAATAACCAAAGGAATATTGTTATCATGAAGTCCAGCGACATCATTAGCAAGGGCAGTAGGGTGTTAAAATCTCATCTCAAAGAAATAATGTTCTAGAGATCAAAAAATCCTTTTACCCCATTGTATAATAGAAGGGAGTGTGCTTGTAGAGTATTATTCTTCATATATCCTTATGGTGAAATAGCATTTTAAGGCATTTTCTAATCATCTCAGAATTTGTGTGTCCTATTTTCTGATCTCAAGTTGTTTAGCTTTTTGTGTGTCAAAAAATAGAAGTCTCTATCAGAGCTATATGAGAGAAGGATTTGAGGGACAGATAGAAGGGGTAACAGGAAAGTCTTAAGGTTACTGTCAAATCCCTAGCAGTGAATGGGGAATGAGAAAGAATTCTAAAGTTGGCCAACAAAGCTTATTTCATTCTGTTTTAATGATTAGCCTCTAAATTTTAGAAATATGATGACCTATTTAATTAGGTTTTAGATTTTGTATCTGGGATGATTGGTTGGTTTTCTTTCAAAGAGATTATAAATGTACAGCAGTGTGCGGAAGAATGTCTACCATAGAGTGGTGAGTGTGGCTTACTAATTCTCATTAATAACAAAACAGCTTAAGAAAACAGCCATTTTAGAAGATTCGTGTGCCCATTGAATGATTTTGCATGAAGGATTTATGACTCCTTCTTACTAGTCTGTGTTTATTCCCAAAATGATGAGTCCCTTTCAAGCAATGTAGATAGGAGGTTGTTCATCTCCTGTGCCCCTCATACCACAGGTAGAAAGAGATGGGTTTGCATTATCATAGCTCCCTACTGCCACATCCAAACCAGTATGTTTCTGCCTTTTTCCAAATAAAATACTGTTTTTTGAGGCCACTCCCATTTGGCTGTGGTCCAGCCTACTTCATCATTGTTATCTGCCATCCACTCCCTCTAGCATTATCATCTACCATCTATCACTGAAAATCTTGGTACTTGGCTCACCATTATCTGTGTCCTGCCCTCATCCTGGGTGACCTCAAAGTCCATGTGGATAAGCCGCGTGTCAGTCTGGCTTCACAGCTCCTTAACCCCCTCATATCTAATGACCTTTACTTCTTTTATGCTTTATCCACTTACATCCAGGGCTGTGTCCTGTGATCTTTCATCATTAAAGCTGCTCCTTCTGTTGTATTTAACATGCCACTCTGACCACAGCTTTCCATGCTCTCAGCTCCTTTATTTTCTCCTGCACATTAGTTATTGGCTTGGAGAGAAATTTTCTCAGTTGTTGCTTCTATTTTCTCTCAAGTTAAAGCCCCCTCCTGTTTTATTTAAATTCTCTATTCAATTGATACCCTGTTTCCAATTTTAAAACTCCCTCACTTTTTCCTGCACTGACCTAGCTGCTATTAGGCATGCATGGTTTCTAGTCTTAGACCAATTATCAGCACTCCCTGGCAAGACTTCTGTGTATTTCAATCAGCTTCCTCCACATTTGCAGCAATGGCTGTGCCTTTAATCACCCTCCTGTAGCCTTTTACCCTTGCCCTCAGCAGACAACCTGCACATTACTTCACAGAGGAAATAAACCATCAAACAATTCCCTCAATTTATGCCTTCTCAATTACAGAGTTACCTGCTATTACTTTCTTTACTCCTATTAGTTGTTACACTTATGTATGAGGTTGTTTTTGCATTGCTATAAAGAAAT